TGGAATGGAACAAAGCCACTGAAAATTAATTTTCGATTCCTTTAGAAAAGCCCATTGAAGTCTTAGTAAATTTCCGTCATTGTAATGAGAATCACTATAGGGGATTACTGAACAAATAATTATGCTAAAACGTCGAGAAAGCTATTGATCGTTAATCATTGTTTCGTTAAGATGTCGGGTTGCGTTGACTAAAACAGATGACACGTATGGCTACCAAAATATATAATAATTCTGTGTGATAATACATATTACATAAAAACAAACGTGTGGCAACTCGGGAACTGCCGCGGTAAAGCTATTGCATAGCATTTTTTATCAACTTATGCAATTATATCATAATTAGACTATGGTAATTTAATATTAAAACAATAATAAAACAAGACCACGCTATATTAAACACTAATAAAAGCAAAACATTAACTGTCCCCTTCACACTCATAAGCTAGACCGCGCGAGAGAGAGATGGGCAGACTTTTCATAATGCGCATTCAGTGTGACGTCACGCCACGCGCTTATTCACAAACGCTACACAAGCGTAATGTGTGAATGTGTTGAACGCGAGCTACATGGTAGGCGGAGTGAGGGGTGTTAGGTTTTTTTCGTTACGGAATTTCATGATTCGGTCGCCGCACTCAAGGCTCGCGATAAAAGCTATGCAATAGCTTAATAATACATAATATAATTCTGTGTGAAAATACATAATAGCCAAAGATTTATTAGTACATACAAAGCACTTCAAACGAACTTCAATGTATTGTCAGTACCCAAGCTTCTAATATCCGGTACCATCATTTTCCATTAACTCCTCTGTAACGCCGATTACTTCCCGTTAAACATGTTTACATAATCCTTTACTTAAAATAGTTTCTCTGATGTTCATTAACAACAAGCTTAAACTCGAATACGTTTGTTAGTGGGTTTTATTCGGCACAGCTTTATTCGATGTCTTTACTGATTTTCGTATGGTTAGTGGCTTACTAGCATAGGTAATTGCAGAAACCTTTCGGTAGGCAGCGGCTTGGCTCTGCCCCTGGCATTGCTGAAGTCCATGGGCGACGGTAACCACTCACCATCATGTGGGCCGTATGATCGTCTGCCTAAAAGGGCAATAAAAAAAAAAAAAAAAAAAATAGAATAAAATAGAAATATAATAAAGTAGAATATAAATTTAGTAGAACAGAATAGAATTAGAATCGAACAGACGTTACGACTACTCTATATCAGCCCGTTTGAGCACATAAGAATGACAAAGTGAATGACGCAATGGAGCTTGGAGCTCGAAGTTGAACTTTTAACTGCTTTCACCTTACTGCCATCATTTACATCAGAAAGATTCATCGCTTCGCACCAAAAAACGGCAGCATGTACAAGCAGACACACAATATGCTCTACCACAAATTATTAAATAAATTTATGAATGTGCGAGTTTTATGGGTCATTAAATATTATAGGTACGAGGGCTGCACTAAAAGTATTTATTTTCACGGAATATTTCCACTGTTCCTGTCATATTAAAATCTTTTTAATTGAATACTCCTTGGTTTTAAAAATCGAATACCATTTATTTATTTAAAAAAAGATTCTCGGTCTTGTCATGAGGTTTTGTCAAACTTGTTTAGTCGTTGAGAAAATGGAATTGACTCGAGAAAATTCAAGAGCGATGATTTATTATGACTTTCGAAGTGGTTTAACACAAAAACAGTGTGTTGACCGGATGATTTCTGCATTTGGTGATGAAGCCCCATCCAAAACTACAATTTATCGCTGGTTTGCTGAGTTTCAACGTGGACATGTCAAGCTCAGTGATGATCCTCGTCAAGGTCGTCCAAAAACTGCAGTCACCCAAGAAAACGTCGATGCTGTGCGTAAGCTGATTGAGGAAGATCGACATGTGACATACCGCGAAATTCAGGCAACTTTAGACTTTGGCATGAGTCAAATACAAATAATCTTGCATGAAAAATTAGGTGTAAAAAAGTTGTTTTCCCGATGGATACCGCATTCGCTCTGTGAAGAGCAAAAAGCGGCTCGCGTTACTTGGTGCGTCAGAACTCTCGAAAGATTCCACGCAGGATCCTCAAATGCTGTATACAACATTGTATCAGGTGACGAATCCTGGATATANGTCGTAATATAGAACTATTTCTCGTATTGTTTCGTTTAATTTACCGACATCGTTTTGCTTGTGGCCGGACGCCGTTCGGGTTCGATTCCTGAACGTATCAACTGTTAGTGGGTTGATACCCGAATATAACCCGCTACAAATCATTTATTAATAAAGCTTTTTTAATAAATGCATATTTTACTGTATTCAACTGACACAAATTTATATTTATATCCAGTAAACTCCAGTCGTGCGTCGGAGCGGACACACACACTTTTTTTTTTTTATTGCTTAGATGGATTAGATTGCGAGCTCACAGCCCACCTGGTGTTAAGTGGTTACTGGAGCCCATGGACATCTACAACGTAAATGCGCCACCCACCTTGAGATATAAGTTCTAAGATCTCAGTATAGTTACAACGGCTGCCCCACCTTTCAAACCGAAACGCATTACTGCTTCAAGGCAGAAATAGGCAGGGCGGTAGTACCTACCCGCGCGGACTCACAAGAGGTCCTACCACCAGTAAAATTTATGGGTCATTAAATATTATTATTGCATTATGCTGAAAATCAATTGTGAACAAAGTTTAAGTATATATACTTCGAAACAATACTAATCGAAATTTAAAAATAATCGAAATAAATAAAAATAATCAAAATTTACTAGTGGCAAGACCTCTTGTGAGTCCGCGCGTATAGGTACCACCACCTTGCCTATTTCTGCCGTGAAGCAGTAATGCGTTTCAGTTTGAAGGGCGGGGCAGGTGTTGTAATTATACTGAAATCTTAGAACTGCTATCTCAAGGTGGGTGGCGCATTTACGTAGATGTCTATGGGCTCCAGTAACCACTTAAAACCAGGTGGGCTGTGAGCTCGTCCACCCATCTAAGTAATAAAAACAAGCGCACTGTGGACAAACGCTGTGGTTCTAGGTAGTATGGATGAACTCGACTCCGTTAGCGGACAGTGCCATAGTAAAAACGAGATGATGGAATCACGTCAAACAATCCCTCAGAATACTCCCAATGGAACATACGGTACAATATATAGAGAGAAGCGAATTCCCTCCGCGGACCCAGAGGTTCGAAACGATCTGTGAGGATGAGATTATCGACAATCCGAACGGCCCTCTTCTGTCAAATGGAAGTAGCTGGTATTTTACGAGAAATATTAGCTACTTCTACTAATACCATACTAGTACGTATGATTTGACTGTCCATTGACAGTGGTAAAACAAAAGTTTGGATCAGCTTCTTTATTTCCTTTTACTTCTTTCTAATTGAAGAATCTAAATTCCATTTCCACTAAACATATTACGTCACGAGAATCTTTAGCTCGGAGGCTAAACTTTTTAATTAGTATTCCACAATTATACTCGTGGGGGCAAGATTAATTACTTGAGGACTTTCCTGAAAAGTTTGTAAGAGAAATTATATTAGGCTTTGGGAATATTATTTTCGTCATGAAGCTTTGTTGCTACTTGGCTCTTGTATGATCCATCTCGGTACACATCAGCACGTTTACTTCGGTCAGTGACAGCCATGATTCTGTAATGCCATACTGAAATGTAAAAACTGAGATCTTAGAACTCATGTCTCGAGATGGATAGCAGTATTTACGTAGCAGATGTATATGGGTTTCAGTAACCATCTAACTCCAGGTGGGTCGTAAACTCTTCCAAATATCTAAGCATAAACAAATAAAAATTAAAAAAAAAAGTGTGTGTGTCCGCTCCGACGCACGACTGGAGTTTACTGGATATAAATATAAATTTGTGTCAGTTGAATACAGTAAAATATGCATTTATTAAAAAAGCTTTATTAATAAATGATTTGTAGCGGGTTATATTCGGGTATCAACCCACTAACAGTTGATACGTTCAGGAATCGAACCCGAACGGCGTCCGGCCACAAGCAAAACGATGTCGGTAAATTAAACGAAACAATACGAGAAATAGTTCTATATTACGACAACACGATACACTACAGATTATTAACAAATTAACGAGACACAAAACAAACGACTAACAAATATATGAAAATACAATAATGAGAGAAACGCGCGATCAGTACGAGGCTTTGTGGCGGACTGCCGGCGCAGCAGCCCGGCGTCACCTGCGATAACGCGGCCGCGCGTTGGCTCCTGATTGGCGCGCGCACGCATCACCATGGCCAATCAGGCGCATAACGCATTTCGTGTGACATGCTATACTCTCTAGTACGATTTTGGTCCCCATAATTTTCATACCCCGGGCCTATATATGTAAATCGATTCTTAAGGAGTAAACTCCAAAAAAAACTTGGATATCGTATTTTTATGATTAGCACCAATAGAGAATGTCACAATGAAAGTTGTAAATTAAATTGGATCACTATTATTTATGGGTCAGACTAATTTGCACATTTAAAGTATAAAGTATCAAAATATTCACAGCTCTGAAGACTTTTTATGTGGAACTAAACATTCATAATACATTACGAATTTTATTCAACCATGGCCTCTAACGACATTTGACTTACCGGCAATAGAAAAATCAATACAAGGCATTGAAAATTTTGATCCAATATACAATAAGCTGTAAATATGTGCACTTAAAGCTCACGTTGCATACGCCACATTATTCAAGAATAAAGCTAAACTAGTGATACGTAGCAAGGCAGTTTTTAATGATAGGAAATGGCATGTTTGTGCCAATAATATATATTATTATGATGTCTATGAGCGACGATGCCTGCTTACCATCAAATAGGCTTTATCTTCGTCTATGTTTAACGTCAGTGAAAAAGGGCATAATTATAGGCAATTTATCATAGAGAAGATAACACAGATGCCGTAGGACCACAATTGCATTTCTATTTGGAATAAACTTTACTTTTGTCTTTTGCAGGTGGGAGGTATGCGGGCGCATAAGGTACCCGCTACTCTGCTACTGTTGCTTTTCGCAATAGAAGCAATGGACGCCAACAGAAGGAAGCAAAAAGACAAAACCCCACCAGCGACCAACATCTGTGACATCAGCGATCGTGATTCTAAGGTCCATTGCTATTGCGAATATAGTCAAGAGATAAATGAAGCTGTCAAAACAGAATGCTGGGTCTTTAATGGCGGTATAGAGAAATCGGATCCACTTTGGCCGAGTTTCATTTCTCAGTCGAACGTTGAGGTCCTAGCGTTCAATGTAAGAGCAGACGGTGGTTTGGATTTCGTACCGTCCAAAGTATTCAGGTATTTAAGGAAAATTAAGCAATTCGCCATAAAATACAGCTCAATAAGAAAAATAGACAGTTACACTTTTGTCAACCTGACATCAGTCAACGAAATAACCATGACCAAGAACCAAATTGTGATCTTGAGTAAGCATTCATTTTACAACCTGCCAAATTTGACTGTACTCACTTTAGATGAGAACAGGATAAATGAGCTGACTTCGGAGACGTTTTACGAGCTTCCGTCTCTTCAGAAGCTGTATCTGACAAGTAATAACATAAGTGTCATACATGATGGCGCTTTCAAACATCTAGTCAACCTTGCAGACTTAGAACTGGACAGAAACAACGTGAGCGAACTGAAGAAGGAATGTTTCGACGGCCTGGCCAATCTGAAGCGTTTAGATTTAAGAAGAAATAAACTGACGGTACTAAATTCATTCACGTTCACGGAATTATGGAACTTACAGTCGTTGTTGTTAGATTATAATGAGATTTATATCTTGGCTCAGAGGACTTTCGATGGGTTATCGCAATTGCGGAAGTTGAGCCTGAGTCATAACAAGCTTGTGACACTTGCTGATGGACTCTTTGAAGGCGTCAGGGGGTTGTCAGCACTAGACTTGCGGCATAACAAGCTTAAAAGGTTCACGTTTGATAATCTAAGGCCTATTTATGATAATTTGAAGAATCAAAATAGCTACATCTATTTGAAAGGTACGTAAGAAACTATGTGAAAGATGCTTTAGTTTTTTTTTTCTGTTATGTAATAAAAGTTATGTACATAATGAAGTTTTAAAAATCCTATTTGGTATTTTTGTTAACTTTTAATCCTTTAGGGTTTTCAATCAAATGAATATATTATAAACTCGAATAAAAATAACAAATTAAGAGTTTAAAGGTTGTGGCGAAGTCTAATCTCTCAATATTGCTATTCAAAGATGTATCCAAGAAAGGGTTTAAACCTTTTATTTCTTTTACTAAAAGGGTCTTCAGTTAAATTGGAAAAATGTTTCCTAAACGATCCAATGATCCTCAAACTTCATTCATGGATTTATCTGTTCACTAAAAAACGAATCAACAAAGACCATTCCGAAATTCAAACGCAATTCAAATTCTGCACGTCACCATAGAATTTAAATTATTGAATAAAAATCAATTAGCCTCTGTAGCCGTTCACCACCTTTATTCATTTATTCAATTGGGGGATTAATTAAAGCTCCGATTGTTACAGGGAATAAGCTAGCGTGCGACTGCCATCTCGCATGGATGCATAAGCTACGTCACGAGGCGAAGAGCGTCAAAGTACGAACCTCACTCGAGAATTTCGTTTGCAAATTCACGGGCGACCCATCTTTGAGTTCACACTTTACTTATTTCGAAAGGAATATTATCGGCTCAAACGATTTGTACGAAGTCGACGTCAAAAGTGAAATGAAAGATTATTCGGATAATCCAGATGATTTTGTTCAAGATGAAACGGAAGACACTTATGTTGATGAACCTAAATCTGTTAAAGAAGACGATGAGAGGACTCTTTTACAGATACCGGTGGAGACGCTCCCCTGCCCTCAAGACGTGAAAAGCGTCACCGACCGTACTTACACGTATCCTTCACAAAACGAGGCCAAAGATTATAGAAATTTAATACAATCAACCTCGACTAGACTATCAATGAACAAACAGCTCTTGTTCATACACTCCGTATTTATATTATTATCAATTTGTTTTTAACATCTGGACAATATTTACTTTTACTTACTTTAAGTAATTTTGGTTTATATTGTTGTAATTATACATTTTTGCGGAAGGACATTGCCCCAGTTACATTTTCTACTTCGAATTCTATGGACTTATGAATAATATAAATGTTAGGTGTAATTGTAAAAATGTGATATAATTTAAGTAAGTATTTTTAAATAAAACAAAAGAAAACATTCTGAAAGTAATACTTTCTCAAACGTTTTGTTTTTCACGCATGTTGTTGTTAAATTACAAATATTTTATTAAAATAAATTAGTAAGGGTACAATGCAAAATGTCTTAGATAATAATTTATATAATATTAATGTAAATAATTTGATGTAAATAAATAAACTTAGATTTTTTCACCGCTAGTCATAATCCTATGTTAGGACATCTCAGTATGACAGTTTCTGTAATATATTAATTATGTTGTTGTTAGTATAATTTGATGGAAAATCTTATTTAAGTTTTATACAAAAGAAAAACGTTCAACTAACTAACCCTAAACGCCTTAACAATAATGCTCTAGTTCAAATGTGCCATTTAAATTACTAAGAAGCTAGTTCAAGCTAGTTAGCTAGTCACTTCAAGTTCAATTGTAAATTTCTATCAATGATATCTTAATAGTTTACAATGATTACAATTTTCAATACCTTTCAGGTATCATAAATAAAAGAAGTGAGTGTGTCCATCGGTATTTTCAGTCAGAAACGCTACAGTAATTCTGTAAATGGTATAAGCAGCGGTGCCGAATAAGCTCGCTGAGTTCTCCACATAATACCGCACCCAATAACACACAACTAACATTAATCTTTTAGACTCTCGGATCTGTGGAAGTCCCGTTGAATGGCTCTATTTTTTGCCATAAAACCAATAAAAATCGGAACGTTAAAAGCATTTACAACTAATGCTTGCTTTTGGAATGTTGCCAATTTCACTTATTTTATATTTAGGTCGTGATGCAATGCCCCACGATGTGGTCTGTTGAGCGTGGACTGTAGGTACATAGTTTACCGCACTACGCAAAGATTATCGCTAAATATGAAACACTCATTTGCATTGTAAGCAGCAGTGTGGCACAAGGACAAACCTTGGCCCTGTGCGACAGTAATGAGCAATAATAAACAACAGGACACCTATGACGTGACAAACTAAAATAGTTTTTTAAAGTAATTTTAATTAAAAATAAATAGATTATGGATTTTATTTATATTATATTTTAAAAGCGCTATTGATCAGTTATAGTTGTCTTTATGTACTCGCAGTAACTACAAGTAATTTGTTGTAACTTTTTTTGTTGAGCCCACCTACTTCCACAGTCGGACATAGATAGACCTGTCCTAAGTTTCACCACAATAATCGTTCAGGTTTTCTTGGAATTAATTATTCAGAACTAAATCTATACTTATATATTATTATATAAAAATGAATTGCTGTTCATTAGTCTCGCTAAAACTCGAGAACGGCTGGACCGATTTGGCTAATTTTGGTCTTGAATTTGTGGAAGTCCAGGGAAGGTTTAAAAGGATAAGAGGAAGATAAATATGAAAATGCTCGGAATTAAATAAAAATAACAATTTCTTTTTTCCTTTTTCCTTTGATGTGTCCCCCGTCGGACGGATTCCTTTTGTTTGCTTTAAGTTTATTTTATACAAAAGTTTAGGTGTTTTATTTCTCGATTGAGGCACTACGAAGTCTGCTGGTTCAGCTAGTTCCAATATTTTTCACTTTGATCTAAACACCTTTTGCTTTTGTGACTGGTAATATCGTTTTAGCTTGTGACACGTGAAATGAAGTTGTGCTCAGCCAAGTGACTTCTCTGTTTGATGGGCTGTAAGTTCCTTCGCCTTTAACTGTAATCGAAATATTGTATCGTTACTTATTTCGATTATACGTCGATGCTTTGCAAACGCTAACAATTATACAAAGCGTCCAGTCATTCGCATGAGCGAAGCTTGCAGGCGTGAATGGTAAACACATTACTCATGGCAAGATGTGTTGTGAGCTAGCACGTAAATTTACTTCCGTTCTACCTATTCCTGCCATGGAATATTCCAGCCTTTCTATCTAATGGATAGTCGTGATTATAATAAAACTGAGAGTTCAACCTCAAGCCTCAAGTTGGGCATTTAGGGTCGAAAACTGGTAATCATCCAAATATAATTCAGGCACATCTGTATCTTTAAATAACAAATTTGAGTTAATTTATTTTAAAGATATTTTGATTAATTTATGAATTATTTTGTTAATTTAATTGCCTTAGTTTTTAAATTAAAAAAAATAAAGTATTTTTTAGGATATAAGACACCTCACCATATACATGAGACAACTAATTTGAATACGCGTTTTAATTTGACGAAATCTCACCTCGATTTCCGCGGTATCTGTAACAGCGCTCAAATGTCCAAAACAGAACAAAATTAAAAATCGTATAACATGCTAATTAACAATTCAACATTGCGTTTGCACAAGTATAAAAATGAAACTGACATTTGTTGAAAATATATTTTTTTTTTTCAATAGTCACACGAGATTTCTTCATTAATTCAATGGTGTAAAACACATTGCTTCACATTTATATTCCAACACTTTGTAATTAGCACCACGTGGGTTGTGAGTTGTGTAAAGCTAATAATAATAAATCTTGGTGGATAACTCTTGTGTGACATTCGAAAAATTAGCTTTAATTTTTTTTTATAATTAGAAAATAAGTATTTGGCTTATTGATTTAATGATTTTGAAATTCTTTTCTCAATTACAATAAATAATTCATCATTCAAATAAAAATTCCAAAATCATTACAAATTTCAAACTCGATTTACTATATAAGTAAATATTAGTAATAATTAAGATATCAATAAATATTAAAATTGGTAAGTGTAAATAAAAAAGAAAAGTTTGTAAATTCTAATACATTATTAATTTAAAACAATTTCATTAAAGGTTGATGTTTGAGATCTTGTTTTATTCATGGAAACGAAAAGGACTTTTCAAAAGATATGGTGAAGCTAATGTAAAAAAAATTTTTTTTTTAATGCTTAGATGGATGGACGATCTCACAGCCCACCTGAGGTTATGTTGTTACTGGAGCCCATAGACATCTACAACGTAAATGTGCCACCCACCTCGAGATATAAGTTCTAAGGTCTCAGTATAGTTAGAACGGCTACCCCACTCTTCGAACCGAAACGCATTACTGCTTCACGGCGGAAAAAGGCGGGGTGGTGGTACCTACCCGTGCGGACTCCCAAGAGGTCCTACCACCAGTGATTACGCAAATTATAATTTTGCGGGTTTGATTTTTATTACACGATGTTATTCCTTCACCGTGGAAGTAAATCGTGAACATTTGTTGAGTGCGTATTTCATTAGAAAAATTGGTACCCGCCTGCGGGATTCGAACACCGGTGCATCGCTTCATACGAATGCACCGGGCGTCTTATCCTTTAGGCCACGACGACAAAAGAAGAGGTTTGTATTATAATAACTAAACTACGACTAATATCGCCATATATTTTATTGCCTTCTAAATCTTTATCAGCAGTATTTGAAATCTAACGCTAAAAGAAGTAGTATGTTTTTTATTGTTATAACGTGTCCCTGCATCTGGAATATTATGGTACTACGTTATATTCCTGCCATANTTTTTTTTTTTATTGCTTAGATGTGTGGACGAGCTCACAGCCCACCTGGTGTTAAGTGGTTACTGGAGCCCATAGACATCTACAACGTAAATGCGCCACACACCTTGAGATATAGTTCTAAGGTCTCAGTATAGTCACAACGGCTGCCCCACCCTTCAAACCGAAACGCATTACTGCTTCACGGCAGAAATAGGCGGGGCGGTGGTACCTACCCGTGCGGACTCACAAGAGGTCCTACCACCAGTAATTACGCAAATTATAATTTTGCGGGTTTGATTTTTATTGCACGATGTTATTCCTTCACCGTGGAAGTCAATCGTGAACATTTGCTGAGTAGATATTTCATTAGAAAAATTGGTACCCGCCAGCGGGATTCGAACACCGGTGCATCGCTCGATACGAATGCACCGGACGTCTTATCCTTTAGGCCACGACGACTTCATAAGTTGGACATAGATAGACCTGTCCTAAGTTTCACCACAATAATCGTTCAGGTTTTCTTGGAATTAATTATTCAGAACTAAATCTATACTTATATATCATTATATAAAAATGAATTGCTGTTCATTAGTCTCGCTAAAACTCGAGAACGGCTTGACCGATTTGGCTAATTTTGGTCTTGAATTATTTGTGGAAGTCCAGGGAAGGTTTAAAAGGATAAGAGGAAGATAAATATGAAAATGCTCGGAATTAAATAAAAATAACAATTCCGTTTTTCCTTTTTCCTTTGATGTGTCCCCCGTCGGACGGATTCCTTTTGTTTGCTTTAAGTTTATTTTATACAAAAGCTTAGGTCTTTTATTTCTCGATTGAGGCACTACGAAGTCTGTCGGGTCAGCTAGTTCTAATATTTTTCACTTCGATCTAAACACCTATTGCTTTTGTGACTGGTAATATAATTTTAGCTTGTGACACGTGAAATCAAGTTGTGCTCAGTCAAGTGACTTCTCTGTTTGATGGGCTGTAAGTTCCTTCGCCTCTAACGGTAATCCAAAATTTGTATCGTTACTAGCTTCTGTTCTACGTCGATGCTTTGCAAACGCTAACAATTATACAAAGCGTCCAGTCATTCGCATGAGCGAAGCTTGCAGGCGTGAATGGTAAACACATTACTCATGGCAGGATGTGTTGTGAGCTAGCACGTAAATTTACTTCCATTCTACCTGTTCCTGCCATGGAATATTCCAGCCTTTCTACCTAATGGATAGTCGTGATTATAATAAAACTGAGAGTTCAACCTCAAGCCTCAAGTTGAGCATTTAGGGTCGAAAACTGGTAATCATCCAGATATAATTCGGGCACATCTGTATCTTTAAATAACAAATTTGAGTTAATTTATTTAAAA